TAAAATAAAATAAAATAGAGTATTTTATTCTAAGTTCGATTAGTTACAAAGGATATAATTTTGGCCATGTTTTAAATATTCACATTTTAGGGTAACATTATACCATACCACTGTCTTAAATCTGTATCAAAATGTTGTGGGGAGGGATGGGCGGGGGGACTTACCTCTTTAGTCCCAGCTACTTAGAAGGCCAAGGCAGGAGGATTGCTTGAGCCCAAGAGTTGAAGACCAGACTGGGTAACATAGAGACCCCGTCTCTACAAAAAAATTTTAAAAATGTATCAAATAGAAACTAACATAGCAATTTTTAATTTTGTCTTTTTATTGAAGCCTCACTTTCATGTAGTAGAATGCACAGATCTTAAGTGAGCAGCTCAATTAATTTTTATCAGTGTCCCTACCACCCACACCAAGGTGTAGAACATCTCCAGTATTCAGAAGGCATGCTTGTTCCCTCTCTCCGTCAATACCCGTCAAACGTGACCACTTTTCTGACCTCTATCACCATAAACTAGTTTTGCACAACCTCATTGGTTCTGGCTTCTTTCAATAAACACAAGGTCTGTGGGTTTCAAACATGTTGCTGTGAGGAGCAGTAGCATTCCTTTTTCATTATTGTATATTATTCCACTCAATGAATAGCTCATATCCAAAAAAAATCCATTCTATTCTTACTAGACATTTTGGGTCATTTCTAATATTTGGCTATAAAGATACTATAAGTATTCTTGTATATATTTTTTGGTGATCATAAGCACTGATTTCTTTTGTGTATGTATCCATGAGTGAAATTTCCTGGTCATAGGATAAATACCATAATACATTGTTTCTACAATCATCCATCAAAGTTACCTGAACAAGTCAAATGTTTTACACTGCTCCTTTCTTTACGTTTCTGAACTCCTAATTCCCTTTCACTTGCTTCATAACGTTTAATCTTAACATATTTTATGCTTGAAAGTTTTAAGATTATCATCTTCTTTAAAACTCTACTTATGTAAGCTGAAATAGGCATTTTAAATTTTTTCCTTTGAACTCTAAGATTCTTCCTTTTATAATGATTATGTATCATTATGTATCATTACAGTATCACTGTAATGTAATACACAATTTATCAAAATAACATTATTATTTTACACATTTGATAAATCATTAAACAAAGCACAACTTTATATGGGAAATGCTTCTCATAATGAGGTGGGCGGGATGGTAAATGGCAGTGCTTATCAAACTTTAAGGTGCACAAGGGCCACCTGGGAGAGCTTGATAAAATGCAGATTTTTTATTTGGATAGTATGGGCTGGGGCCTGAGACTTTATTCCGAAATTTTTTTTTTAGCTTTATTAAGGTATAATTGGAATGCCCCCTAAATGCGCACATTTAATTTATTCATCTTGATGAGTTTGGATGATTCTGTATTTCTTCTCCCTTCCCTTCCCTCCCCTCCCCTCC